GCCCTTCCTCCTTCTTTGTGTATTAGTTCCCCATCCTGGAAGTCCCCTGCCCTCCCCTATGAATTCTTTCCTGTTTAAAGTCATGTGGGAGGCACATATTTATAATATGTGCAGTTTTTGGAAAAGGTATCACACAGAAGTGGCACAAAATAATATACAGATGAGGGCATCGTGGGCTCATGTTTTATTTGTGAAAAATTAGGAAAGGGGTCCCATCCTTTGGCAGACACAGCCCCACACCCAAGCACAAGAGCCACTCAATCAAAAGGAAGAGACATCCTCTGTCCTCTATGGGCCTCCCCTGCCTTCCAGTTCCACCAAGTCTTTGATGATATTGATAATGATGATGAAAATAATCATGTATTTTAGTCAAGCACAAGAGGCCATAGAAAGAATAGAAAGTTTCCTCTTCTACTCTGACACCCAGGACCACCTTCCACTTTCTCAAGTTACTGAAACTGCTTCGTCAGAGAGTCTTTGAAATTTATTTTTGTCAAATAATCCACATGGCTTGCCCTGGCTGGGTGGCTCAGCTGGTTGGAGTGTCGTCCTGTGCACCAAAAGGTAGTGGGTTCGATTCTTGGTCAGAGCACATACTTAGGTTGCAGGTGTAATTGCCAGTTAGGGGGCAGATAGGAGGGCAACCAATCGATGTTTCTCTCTCACACTGATGTTTCTAACAAAAGGTGGATGACCATCTGCCAGTGTGACTAGAAGGAGTGAATCCAAAGCACAGTTTGTGGTGTACCTTCTCCTCTACCTAGAAATTAAAAATAATAATAATAATAATAATAATAATCCACCTGGCTTAAATAAACATAAGGTATCCCTGGAAGTTTATACAAGAGAGCGAGCATATTAGTTCCCCCGGAAAGGGGAAGGAAAGAGCTGGAGCCCAGGAATCTAGCTGCCTGGGCAGCACTGACCTGCAGCCCAGCTTTGCCTGCCCTTAACTCAGCAGCACCTCCCGTCACCAGCCTCTCCCAGCCCTGGCACAGAATCTCAGGGAGTGAAATGTAATTGCAGGTACAAATCCCTGGCTCAGATTTCTCTCAGTTCAGCATCAGCCGGAGGCCATCCCTGTTCAGGAATCCCAAAGGCCAGAGAAAATGGGTTCTGGATGTGGGATCAGTGGACTCTAGGTATCAAGGGCCACCCCAGCGGGGGCAAAACAGCTCTAATGGAGCCTGGCCATTCATTAGGGAGAAAGCTAAAAAGGAGGGAAGGAAAGAAGACAAAAGGAGGGAGAGAGAAAAGAAAAATAAGAGAAAAAAAAATCAAGCAGAGAGGGAGGAAGAGAGAGCCAGGAGGGGGAAGGTGAGTGCTCATGGCAGAGTGGGTACAAGGACCATCAGTAAATACCATCCACTGAGGGCTTCTTGTATGCCAAGCCTTTTCTACCATCTTCAGGTTTAATCTTCACAACAACCCTATGAAGTAGACCTGATGCTCATCCTATTTTACAGACGAAGAAACTGAGACTTAGAAAGATTAAGGAACTTGCCTAGAGGACCCACACACACATGGCAGCTGAGTCAGAATTTGAACCCTCTAAGGTCAGAGCTTTTAACTATATAGTATCAAGTGGAAAAACACAAGTAACAAAATACACACAGATACACATACCAAGTGTGTTAATTGTGTATGATACCAATTGTGTTAAAAAACACACACACAAATATCCAAGGCACCATCAATAAAATAAAAGAACACCCACAGATGGGAGAAAATGTTTGCAAATCATAAACACAACAAAAGGCTTATACCCAAAATACGAGTATATAAAATGCTGTTACAACTCCACATAAAAGACAACCTGATATTTAAATGGGCAAAAGATTTAAGTAGAAATTTCTCCAAAGAAGATGTACAGCTAACCTATAAGCACATGAAAAGATGCTTGACATTTTTAGTCACTAGAGAAATGCAAATCAAAACTACAATGAGAGCCTAGCCAGGGCTCAGTGGTTAGAGCATCAGCCTGTGGGCTGAAGGGTCTCGGGTTCGATTCTGGCCAAGGGCACATTGGTTGTAGGCTCAATCCCCGCCTCTGTTTGGGGTGTGTGCAGGAGGCAACCAATCGACGTGTCTCTCTCACATCGAAGTTTCTCTCTCTGTGTGTGTCTCTCCCCCTCCCTTCCACTCTCTCTAAAAATCAATGAAAAAAATATCCTCAGGTGAGGATTAAAAAATAAAAAAAATA